AGGCAAAGCACGTGCGCCCGAAGGTTGCATCAGGTTTCACTTGTAATTAGATTGAAACGCGTTTACATTGTAAATTGATGCGGGGAACAGATTGCAGTGTAAATAACAGGCACACGTGTCGGCAGATGACTTCATCGGACGTTTTACAAATATAGACGATTATCTATTCATTAAAATTCGCCCAAAACTAAATCTTCAGACTGAACAGAAAATATGTACTATCTATGTGTTTACTAATATCCATCGGTATATTTATACATACACAATATATATATATATATATATATATATATATATATATATATATATATATATATATATATATATATATACACAAGTATAGGATTGGTGTACACGGAATAAATTTCAGTAACCAAAAATACTATTCTTAAAAGAGTACTCAATACAGAGTAGAGGAAATATAATTATTTATTGGAAAAATTATAATATAAATATGTTATAAAATCACTTCAAAAATAGCCATTTTGTTTCAACACTTCTGGTGTCTTATCAAGTGATGGGGTTGATTATATAACATATTTATGTAATAATTTTCAAATAAATAATATTATATATATATATATATATGTGTGTGTGTGTGTGTGTGTGTGTGTGTGTGTGTGTGTGTGTGTGTGTGTGTGTATAAAAGGCATGACGATTGTGTTTAGTGTGAAACAGACTGTAGCCTCAGGATGTTAACTTCAATGTCCACTTTTATATTTACATACAATCTATCCCTGATATTGAACACTTTCACTCATAATATGCCATGCTTTAAAAACATATTTTATCATATATATATATATATATATATATATATATATATATATATATATATATATTATCCCTCACCGCTAGCACGACTCTGAGTTTCATTCACGACGCAATCCCCAAGAGCTGGGTATGAACTGACTGTTACCCAATTTTGAATTTTAATATATCTGGTTATACCAATTATGGCGTAAGATTACATTTTATTTTTTAATTTGAATGCTAGGATTACAATTTTTTAATTTGAAAATTATATTTGGAAATTAAAATAAGCGAGATTTATATATGTATGTAAAAATAGAAAATTAATAAATTATATATTAGAGTGGGAAATATTCATATTTTAATAAATTATATAATTAAAGGGAGATTACTTGTTCTTATTAAAAGATATATTTAACTGTAATATATAAAAAAATTGACTGTAATTAGCATAACAATTATAAAATTTTAAAACTTAATTTAAAACTAAAACTAAAAGTTAAAAATTAAAATTAATATAATAATAAAATAAAAAATAAATAAACAAGATGAATAGTGAGACCTCGAAAAAAAAACAACGGAACTTAAAATTGATGATAAGCTCCATACATTCCACAAACAATAACCTTAAATTTTCTAAACATGCCTCAATATCGATTTCTCAACCCCACCCAAAAATGATATCGGTATAATCAGCCAAGAAAGAGTATGCATGTAATACTATAAAGGTTCACTGGTGGTAGTTGAAAGGAAAGTGACATTGTCGTGACTCTGGTGAACTGGGATTTAGATTAAAACTGTTCATGCGAAAACCCCGTATAGAATTAGAGCATTGGAAAGGTTGAAAACGTTAAACAAGAAAACGTTAAAATGAGAAACAGGAATTGAAATATGAAGCGATAAAAAAATAAAATATTTGTTTTTTTCTTTCTGATAAAAAAATAAACACGCATATGAATTGTTATGAGTTCCCGAAAAAAGCCGGAAAGTAAAACAGTAAAAACATTTGAAGTAAATAATTTTGTATTTGAAAAGTTGACTGTGCTGGTAGTTGAAGGTCATTGTCAGCCGAGAACCGAATGTAAATAAAACCAAAACGGTAGACAATGGAATTTGGAATTGGGTCTTAATTGGAAATCGATAAACAAAAGAAATTGCTGAACTGAAATAATTTTTAAACACTCATTTAAGTTTGTTGACGGAAAAATTATTGTTTGATAAAACGTCGTTTGTCGAGAAATGTGGTAACAAAGTTTAGTTTTGAAATACCAGACCGCTTGCAGGTAGTGTGCTCCACTGAAGTGGAAGTATTCAATGTAAGAACATGCTCTATGAGTTTTATGATAACTTCTGTGGGGGAGGTCTTGTTTTCTTATTTTAGTAAGTGCTTCCTGAATGGCGGTTAGCCCTTCGATGTGTTTAATGTTTGAATAGAGTGATCTTACGTCCATAATCACTAGAATAGCGTTCTCTGAAACTGTATGTGATTAATTTTGTTTAGTAGATCTGTTGTGTCTCTGATACATACATATATATATATATATATATATATATATATATATATATGGATAGCGGCTCGGATTGAGGGACCCGAGAGTCGAGTTCGAATTCCAGGGGAATCCATTACATTCACATACGTGCTACTACCCTTGAGAAAGGTGTGAATCCTCTTAAATGGGCAAATAGCGGGACAGACAGGATCTATAGCCTTGGATGGCAACTGGTCTAGGAGAAGGACAAATTCAAAACCTGCGGAGAGTCGTTTGATGACCTTGTGGCGCACAGTGCACCAGATCTCTGTATTCGCCTCTTCAAAGAGTGTGGTTGGTTCTGCATAAAACCTTCAATCACTATAATCAAAACATATGTACAGGTTGTCTGGCTGTCGGTTCTTAAAGACCCTCATACGTCGTTAAAGAATTCCCGGTAGGCGCGGGTCAACAGCCCGCATTGAACAACGACGGGAGAGTCCACGATTTATATAAATATATATATATATATATATATATATATATATATATATGTGTGTGTGTGTGTGTGTGTGTGTGTGTGTGTGTGTGTGGTTGTGAAGTTTAAATTTTACTCTGTTTATTGGAGAAAAGTGCTCAATATGGTAGCTCTATCACTGATATTGAGCGCTTTCCCCTATAAGCAACGCATACATAATATATAAATAATATATATAAAAATTGCATATATATATATATATATATATATATATATATATATATATATATATATATATATATTTATATATATGTATATATATTTATATATATATTATTCATATATTATACATATATATATATATATATATATATATATATATATATATATATATATATATGTATAATATATAAATAATATATATAAAATGTGTAAAATGTGTATGTATATATATATATATATATATATATATATATATATATATATATATATATATATATATATATATAAACTGTAGAACAACATTTCCGCCTGGAAAAATATGATTTCAAAACCCATGCCAAATTCACTATAATTGTGAGAATAGAAAAGTTCAGAGCAGATAACATTAGAAAGATTTTAGAGTCCCATGAAAATAAGTGGATACAACGTCTAAAAACACAATATCCAGCCGGGCTAAATCATAAATTTAACAATATATAGATAGTCAACAAATCAAAACCTACCTACACTTCTCACCCACACAAGACAGACATGCTTACGGAGGTGTGGAGGCCTCACACTTATACACCACCCACACGTATATACACACTTACACACATCATATTCACTCACTCCCTAAGGAGCCAAATGATAACACACACCTACAGCAATACACACGCTTACACATATCATACTCACTCACTCCCTAAGAACCAAGTAACACACACAAAACACTAAACAGAGACACATCCCCTCACCAGGTCCAATAAAACTGTCAAACTGACCAGAGAATTCAGAATAATATGTATCCATCCACAACTTAAAAGAGACTGTTTGACCAACACAAGGAATGTTAAAAGATTCATGTTAAAAAAGATAAGAAAATAAAAAACAAATGAAAACTACAGACAAAAGTTCATTTTCCCATCAAGACATTCATTTCTGTAGTTCACTGCTACCAGCAAGCAGAAATATTTCTTCTCCCGATGATGGCCATTTCGGTCGAAACTAGTCGAGGAATCTAAATGGAATAATAATAAAAAAAAACGAAAGAATATTAATCTACAACCCAGTGTGTCCAAAGATTTTAATTTTTTAAATTTTAATTTTTAATTTTTTTATTTTCTTATTGTTCAATATATATATATATATATATATATATATATATATATACGTACATACACATTTTACACACACGCACCCACATATATAAATCAACTGTGGTTGAAACAAGGAGAGATTGCAAGAGATATTTAGTGATTTTTTCATGCCAACGCCACTACGATGCAAGGGGCCACCGGAAGTGAAAGTGAAGGAGAAGATTCTGATTTTAATCGGTCTCAAACTCCGCATAGGGCCTCCATATATATTGATTTTGATGACTAGCCTCTCAACGGCCAAACCACAATATCCGGTTTGGATGAATAGAACATTCATTGAAGCTTCCTACAAAATGGGAAGATTTACCAAATTTGCTAAGGACAGCAGAACTTGAATAATATTTATAATATTTGAAAGTGAGCTTTTATTCATTTTTCTAAATTAATTTTACAAAATGAAGATTTAGATTTTATTAACGGAAAATAAAAATAAAATTTGGTAATTATGGTGGTTGTCATGTTTAGGTTTCCGTTTGATTTCTAATCGATGGACTCACCTGAAAAAGGACACACTTCACTGACTGTTGTGTTTCCAACCACATTAACGTCCTCTTCGGCAAAAGGTTTTCCACAAAATAAAAATGCTAGCTGTTTACCTCACTGTAGTTGTTAGAGTAGCCAATAAACTTAATTATTGAAAAACTTCTATTAGGTGTGTGAAAAAGTTGAGAAATCAGCGCTGTTTTTTGAAAACTAGAGATTAAACAGATGCTTATAAACCGGTTCCTAGCAATTTCCCGGGTGTTCACTCGAACGGAATATGGCACATGGCCGAACATAAAAGTAGGAATTCTAAGCGTACATGGCTTGTAGGCAAACAGGTGTCCAGAGCTCACAGCCAGCAGTCACTCACTGAGTCGCAATATCCTACATATTTTATAAGGATCGACTATTTTTCATCCAATAATTGAATTTAAATATTCCAATTCACAACGTGCTTTCGGCCAAATCACGTTGAAATACCGGTTGTTGTGTGATCACCGAAGTTAAGCAACGTCGAGTTTGATCGGTACCTAGATAGGTGACCGCTTGGGAATAGCAAGCGCTGTAAGCTTAGATGTGTGGGTGATGTAATGGATAACGGATCGGAAATATAACAGCAGAGTTCCAATTCCAGTTGGGTTCGTTATATTCACTTAAGCGTCGTTAACTTGCGCAGGATATAAATCTAACCCTTCTCCCCAGCTGTGGGTCATTTAGTAGAACTTGTATCAGTAAATTTTTATTATCCCCAAAAGTTCTTAAAATCTATAAATATTTTCTGGCTTTAAAATAACATGCTTGATAAGCCGTAAAACAAATTAATCAATTGAACGAAAAAGTAATATCAAAAAGTATGATTAAAAGTACAATTTAGCTTCATTAAGATTATAAATTGCAATGAGAAATCTATCAAACTTTATATATAAACTTTTGATTATTGAATTTAGATGAAGCTAAATCTGGTTATTTTATAACTCATCTCATCACAAACCAGAATTCAGTCAGTCAGTTATGTGATACACGCGCTTAGACGACCATGTATCTCTCGATACATGACTGACGAGGCAGATTTTTTCTTCCCGCAGTAGATTTCTTTCTGCGGTAGACTAATTGTCATCCCAGGCTATAGAACCCTCTCTGTCCTGCTATTTACCCATAGATGGGGGAAGACGAAGAGGATTCATACCTTTCCGAAGGGTATTAGAACGTAAGTGATTGTAATGGAATTCGAACTCGGCTCTCCGATTCATCAATCCGAGCCGCTATCTATTACTTCACCGTGCCTCCTAAACAAAAATAAATTTATAAACATTTTGATTTTTTACACACGTATAATCACCATTTTGTTTTTTTTTTTTTCTATATAGGGAACGGAATAAAAAGTTCCATCTATGTGGATGTCGATATACTTATTGAACTTCTTCAGGACATAGGCGGTCATAGCTCTCCACAACTTCATATCCCTTGTTGTTCTTACCAGTTTTTCTCCCTTTGCTAAGGATCCCGCATCTTTTCTATCATCTCTTCCCACAAGCTCGTCAGGTAAATAGCTCGCTGCCTATCCCCACGTCACTCAGTATGATCCGTGAGGGCTAAGGTTTCTAAGTCTTTCTTCCTCATTATGTCCAAGATATTTTGGCCGTCTTTTCCTGATTTTCTGTTCTTTCTGTTACCATTTTCTTTAAGACTTCCTTGTTGCTTACTCACTCCGTCCATGGAATTTCACGTATCCTTTTGTAGAACTATATTTCTGCTGTCTCCAGGTTTCTTTTCATCCTTGGAGAAACTGTCCAGTATTCACTGCCATATAAGAGAATGGATATCGCAAAGCAATCCTGTAGTTTTTTTCTTTGTTTAACGAGACTTATATTTGGCATACATAACATTACAGTTTATCCAACTCTGGGTGTTGTCAATTACCGTCGGCCAGAGGATATGTGAAACCCAGGTCTCTCTCCGAGCGTGGACCCTGCATTCCTGCGTGAATGTAAGAAATTCCGTTCTCTCTGCCGTGGGCGATTATATATATATATATATTATTATATATATATATATATGTGTGTGTGTGTGTGTGTGTGTGTGTGTGTGTGTGTGTGTGTGTGTGTGTGTGTGTGTGTTTTTTTCCTCATGTACATCCAAGACGCAGCTGGGTCGAATGAAGCGCAGATCAACTCTACACCTAGCTTCTTTGATGGTCTTTCATTGAGTGCAAAATCTATTCTGTCATCATTTATGGTGATTCACATCATAAACACTTATTCCTGACTTAGAGATTTAAAAATGGTAAGGAATTCTGGTTGTTTTAATTACCTCTTGTCGATAGATTGTCACTGAATATTGATAGAGTAAAAGACACTAGAAGCAGAAGGTTATTGTATCCAATTAGTGCATATATATATATATATATATATATATATATATATATATATATATATATATATATCGAACGAACGAATAAAATATTCAGTTGGAGGTGCCGTTTATATGAATCAATCGGGACACTGTGAGAAATGATGCTTTCTTTGGTCAAATGATAATAAGAGGAAATGATTGAAAGAAACCCAGCAAATTATTACGATTATCGAACAAATGAAGAATCCAACAGCGACAATACAAAACTCAAGATGTCTATTAATACTAGACAGGGCGATTAGTATCATTTTAATATTCGTTCATGTGGATGTGAAACATTTCTTTCTGGCTTTACAAAGATCTTATTTGTACTTGATTTAAAATGATTCGTCAAACATTTTTTTTTTATATATATGTGATTTAATTTGTGATTTTTTTTTAAATTTTTGTAATTACTGGAACTTAAATTATTTTTACTCTTTCATCAATTTTAATCTTTTGTAAAGATGAAAAAATGGCTGAGGTCATTTGAAGGATTCCAATTTTAGGCGAAAAATTATTAAAAGTTTGGTTACTTCACTACTTCGTCTAAGAATTCCTTTACTGAATATAAATTCTGAAACTGATCAACGTTTATTTTAGTTCCGAGAATATCAGAAAATCATTTCGTCATTAAGAACCTTTTTATAATTTCTTTTCAATTTTTCCTTTATTTGTTCCCAAGAAATTTTAGTTGTAAGAATTCAATTTCCTACATGATTCTCTGGTTTCTTAATTGTTCTAAAACTACTACTACTAATACTAATACTATTACTACTATTACTACTACTACTACTACTACTACTACTACTAATAATAATAATAATAATAATAATAATAATAATGATAAGAATAATAAAAACCAGGAATAAAGTTGGAAGAAAAATATAGTAGCAAAAACATGAGTGAGAAGAAAGCTATCTTATACCAGGTTTCAGTAATTTAAATGATATTTTTTAGAGGCGAGGATTGCAATCTTGTATGAAGTGCTTCTTGAAAATCTACTCATATTCATAAGGGAAGAATGAATAATTGCTACAGTGAAAGCAGTCACGAGCTTTTGCTTTATGTCGAACTTTCTTTGGGACTTAGCTATTTTAGTAGATATTAAAAACTAATGAGTAGCTGATATTTTAGAAGACGAATGATTTATTTGAAGCAGATTTAATGATATTTCAAAGAATTCCTTTTCGATTATTTATATTTGAGCATAAAATAGATGATAAAAAGATTTTGCTTCATATTTTTTTTTATTTCAGATTAATTTCAATGAATTTACATCCGCAGAAGCAACTAGAAATTTGGCACATTTTATGTTCGACCATTTTCTTTTATTTCTGAATATTTATAACATTCTTCCAATCTGTCAATAAAAAAATAAATTTATGATATAGACGGTATAAACATGTGTCCATATCAAGTTCTATGTAGTATTTTAGATGACATCTCCTGAAAACATTGATTAAGGCTCCCGTAAAGCCATAATAGCTCAAGAAGAAACCAGACGATTTTAGAAGGAATAGAAATTTTATGAATAGCAATACTTTATCGCATTAGAAATCTAGTTAATATCTTCAAGAAATGTTTCGAAGACTCTTTAGATAAATTAAATGGCTTGTTCACTTGACTTTAAACCGTTTGAAGAGTTGTGGAATATTGTGAAGAGAAAGGTTCATCTACATGGATAGCAATTTAATGGAAAAACTTTAGAATACCATTTTGAATACTACAGAGTCTTTTTCAGATAAATATAACAGCTGACAAAATCAATGTATGAACGAATTCTAAAACCAATTTCAAATCATCAAGCATATATTTGACTTTAATGTTATCTTTAGTGTAACACTGTGTGACTGTCTGGGATGAGACATTGTCTGAAGTAATGTGGTCATCTACTTAACTGAACTAAAAACGAATAAATATCACTGTTGCCATTAGGTCACCTACTTAATTTAAGCAGAGTATATAATACTCTTGTATATTTTAATCTGCACGTATGCAGATGGTACAAATATCAGATGTTCCATTGTTTACGTAGTGTTATCACAGATATATAACAGAAGACTTGTGAGAAGAAGGGTTCTTCGTATGTACAGAAAGTGTCATCAGGTTGGTACAGTCTGTCCGTCGGTTTCCATGTCGAGCCATAATGTTATATGCATCGCTACCCCCACCAAAACTGCTGTTAGATAAATAAAAGTGGAATACTCCCTGCAAACAATGGTTGTTGTTATCTTAGTGTGTCGAAGTGAATCTTTCCCTAACTTCATCCCCCCTGTAAGCATACCCCGGCTTTGGCAGCTTCAGCCAAAACCGAAAAGACATCTTCAAAAAAAAAAAAAAAAACAACGTGGGGTCGATGCTTTAGCAAGTCTGTTAGGGCGATAGGGTATGGCCACATATGTAATCAGTTTTCAATCTTCAGTGTAAAAAACCTTTCTTCGGATAATTAGCGTAGTTTTTGGGATTAAGTTTTAATTGCAACATAAGGTTTTTACTAGTTTCAATAACTTGTTTCATAATTTGAAAATTTAAAAACAGGTAAAATATTGCCACACCATAAAAGTGACAAGTAATATGCCCTAATTTACATCTGAAATAGCTCTCATAGTAATCATGCAAATAGCTCCGTGTAATCCATTCACGAATTTTCACATATTAGGAAAAACTTTGTTTTTGCTGCTATCCCCTGACGAGTGGACGGAGGATTGTTAGGGCGTCCGTCATATATATATATATATATATATATATATATATATATATATTTATATATATATATATTTGTGTTAATCAATATATATATATATATATATATATATATATATATATATATATATATATATATATATATATATATATATATATATATATATATATATATATATATATATACAGGGAAAGTTGTATGACAAAAGTAGAAAAAAGTTTTCTTGTGACGCGTTTCGTCTTTTAGGATTTCATCATCAGACTGGATTTGTTCACGCGATCGAGAGGTACTGGGAATTCGAATTTTGAATAATTTTTCGACCAAGCGCATGTACAATCATATCAGCATAAACAATGTCTCACTTCGATAAATTCCTACAGGACGAAAAACACGTTACACGAAAACTTATTTTCCCCTTTGGTATATCACATCTTCCACAAATATTTTCCTTGATATATAAAAATATTATAT